CTTGCAAAGCCAACTGACATGTAAAAAATGAGAGAGAGAGAGAGCAGAGATGAAGATAGAGGTAGAGAGAGAGAGAGAGAAGAGAGGAGGGAGAGAGAGAGAGAGATCTCGCTACTTCGATCTCAATCTCTCTATCTCGAGCTAATATCGATATATCGCTCTCTATCATATCTTATCTCTCTCTCTCTCTCTCTCTCTCTCTCTCTCTCTCTCTCTCTCTCTCTCTCTCTCTCTCTCTCTCTCTCTCTCTCTCTCTCTCTCTCTCACACACACACACATCTGTCCACAGATGCAGCTCATTACCAACTCACTCTCTCTCTCTCTCTCTCTCTCTTTTCCTCACACTTAGGTATACTGTGTCTCTGTGCTCATTTGTTCATGTGTTGCTCACTCTGGGAATGCAGAGATAATTGATGACACACTTGTTTGAAATAATCTGCTACTCATGCTTCAAGCATGTGACTGCCGCCACCAGACACACTGCACATGGCTGCTGCTGGAACAAAGTGGCAGTGTGCAGCCTCTAAGGCAATAATAACGAAAATACAATTAACCATATAGATAAAGTCTCTTCAAGCTCATTACTGGCTGCTACAGGCACGATGTAGTGTGTTTCCAGCCTATCCAATTAAAGCCAGAGCAACTGATAAAGCCTTAATTAAAGCCAATCTCTCACTGTTCATGTGTTAAACTACTCGTTTATTCTACCAGAACATGGGAAGTTAAATTAACTTACAAAGCCGTATCCTCTGGACTTGCCCGTCTGTTTGTCTGTGATAACCACAGCCTCGTCGATGTCCCCGAAAGTCTCGAAATATTTCCGAAGTGAAGCGTCGTTGGTGTGATATGGCAAGCCGCCGACAAAGATCTTGGTGTGAGTCGTGTCTTTCTCCATGGTGGGGTGCATTATTTCTAAAGGAACCCCGACCAGCTGACCTAGAAACAGCGGCGAACTCATGCGGCTTGTGGAGACTATTAAAGAGGAATAACACGAATAGAGACAAGAAAGCAGCCGAATAACTTTACGCTGCTTGGTCACCGAGACGCTCTGATGACAGCAGAGTCCATGGTCAAACCTTATAGTCTATGGGTCAAACACGCAGCAGCGCCCAGTTGCATCACACGCAGCTTCTGGATGTGTAGCTCTGGATGTGTAGTCCTCCTGACAGGTGTCTCTGAACCTCATGTCTCCTGTCTCGGAGGGAAAAAGTCTTTAAGGCTCGGTGGGCGCGTCTTGTGTTCGCCCCCTGCGCATCTGATCCAATGGACGAGCGGTGCGACTCTTCCATTGGCGCATCCCGCCTCCATCACACACACACACACACACACACACACACACACACACACACACACACACACACACACACACACACACACACACACACACACACACACACACACACACACACACACACACACACACACACACACACACACACACACACACAGGAAAGCCCCCACAAAAAAGCAACTGAAACGAATAAATCTTCACTATCATTAAAAACGTTGCCTTTCATAGGAGATTATTATAAGTAGTTATATATTTGATATTCTGTTGATAAACTGACTGTAGATACTTCAGATTGGTAGTAGACTGTGAGCAAGTTAATACTATAAGGAAGTTAATACTACAAGAAAGAGAAACTGACATCTGTTAATATTTTAGGACTCAATTTGTGCCAATCATTTTTAATTTATGAGGGGTTTCCACAGGTGTGGGGTTGATCCTGGGTCTGACAGAGAGCATATGGGTGACTATAAACTAGAGCACATTCTTTATCACACTTTTTTTGTCCAATCCTAACTTTTATAGACTTGTTTGGATACAAAACAAATATACTATATACATATATATACAAATATACAATTTATTGTAAAAAAAAGAATGAGACAGCTGCATTGAGTAAAATGTCATATTTGTATTTGGCAACCTTGGTAATACTTTTATTACAACTTTTACTTCTTAACAAACTGTAAACCTGCTGGTAGCGCTATAGTGAAGAAGTCAGGATCATCAACTTCAGTCAGTTTCATCATGACAATAATTAACGTGCAATTACGTATCTGCCACTACGTTTTTTTTGCACTACTAAATACTGTTAATATTTACATTAATTATGTGACCGTCTATGTTTCCTGGAGATATTGAATTGCTCTTTGTACTGCACTGTTAGTGTACAGTTTTATTATTATTATGCTGCTGTGTTTATTGTATTTTTGTTACTCTGGCACAACAATTTCCTTCGGGATAAATAAAGTCCTATCTTATCTTATGTTATCTTAATTGTTGCCGCTGGTGAGACAGAAAATAAAAGATCAAACAGTTATAAAGAAATGAAACACTTCATTATTTTTTGACAGAACGCATAGAATCCCCACTGCATTCAAACAAAAGTGAAACAAAAAATGCCACACACCATTTCCCCAGCTACAAAGGGTTGAAAGAGACAACCTGGCAGCTTAACTTAAACTGAGACTGTAATTGTATTACAGATGACACTCAAATCTAAAAGTTATTTAAAGCTCTGCGGGGCTGACGGGGCTCTGTAGTCTAACAGCAGCAGCAGTAGCAGGGTTGGGACAGCCTGGAGGTGTGAGATCTTTCCTAGGGGCGCAAAACCAGTAGGAGAAGGGGAAGAAAAGTGGGATGATTTATGACAAAAGCTTCCACAGGGGAGGAGACCGGTTGCAGGAAACAAAAGGCAGATTAAAGCGAGGCTGCAGACGGCAGCACGAAGCCCGACGTCACTGACAGCAGGCTCTCGTCTTCTTCAATTCACTTCTGAGGATTTGCCACACAGATGTCCTTCACACTTTATTTCCTCTTGTCTATACCTCCCATCCCCCCCCCCACACACACACACACACACACACACACTGGCAGACTCCAGTCATCTACTCTTGAGGTCTTGTTTCTATTGTAATGATTGTCATGTACAAAATGTTTGAAAGCATAAAAAACAACAGAGACATTTTAATGTTTAAATATAAATTTGTATTTACATCGATATTAACATCAAGAAACAAGGTAAGAAAAAGAAATGCAATAGTATTTTACATCCTGTAATAATGACTGTATGTTTCCCAGATGTGTTTTCTCTTTTCTTTAGCTCCAACGATGCACTGACAGGAGATCGTTTCCTTTAAAGCAAAACACATACTTTTTTTTTGTTTACATTGGTAGATTTCATACGCTTCATTGAGACTGGGGTTAAACAAAACTAAAACAACTCCAAGCTATTATTCGGAGACAAAATGACATCAATCATGAAACCTTCTTTCCAGCTTAGAAAACATCGACATTCTCTTGTGAAAGAACCGTCTGCAGCACCACAATTCAACTGGCCATAAGTTCTACAGAAAGGAAGAAACTTTTACAAACAAAAAACTCAAACCACCTCAGCAGACTCGTCTCTACTCTATGTCATACGGATGGGGATAAAATGCAATTAAACATATCTAGTTTAATGTATATTATAGGTTATGTGCGACAGTTAAAGCACACGGGAGTACTTGCACGTTCTACGTCGGGAACTGTTTCTACGCACAGCAGAATGACAAACAAAAATCTTTGGATTGAGCATGTGTTCAAAGGTAGATTTCTCAACATAAGCTTCACAGGAAATAAAATGAAAATTAAGGCAAAGAAAAAAGTCAGTTATCAGGTAATAAGGGGTTTAAACTACTTCATGTTAAAACATCTGTAAACGGACCAAATGGACTTATGGACAGTTATACGGTGGGTCTGATTTCCGAAGTCTCGTATCTGAGGCCGAACGATCATTTCTGCAAAATTCTGAGCACAGAAATCTCAGGAGTGAAAGTCACACATGGAAGCATGAGGTTCAGAACACATCAACCCCACATACTGGTAAGACATCCGGGCCTCGAGAAGCCTAACACAATCATGTGTCAACTCTTTTTGTATAGGCATTTTTTTTGACAGAAGAAAAATAATTTATTTAGAAAAGAAATTACACACTAGCACCTCTTTTGCTAAGACAATATCCTCAGAAAATAAAGAGTGCTTTCTGAGAGAAAGAAGGTGGCAGTATGAAAGAAAATCTACACGTACTGCTTACAAAAAGGAGGCCCTTACTTTCCAAACAATGCTTAAAGTATTGAAAATAAAAGCTGACCTATGACGGATTAAGAAAATTACACTTTTAAATATCAAGCCTTACAATCTGTGCAAAAACAGTATGTGACCTACAAAAGCATATATATATTTATATATAGTACATTTGAAGCTTATTTACAATTCATATTCACAGACAAAAGAAAAACAAAAAGCTCCAAACAAGACATCATGTCTAATACTGCAGTGCCATCGCTTTGAGTAAATGATACTTCATTTGTCCTCAGAGGAAAACCAGGAGGAAGGATTATTGCTAGAAATCTAACACACACTTCTCTCTTACAGTGGGAGCTAATATAGACATCATTTCATAATTGGCAATCAATTTCATTTCTGCATTTGTAATAACACTGTTAATTGGTGCGAGGTAACCAAAATATCAGCACATTTTGGATTTAAAAACTACCTCTGGAAAGATAAAATGATCATGTTAATGAAACTTTATAAATATAAGTTAAGTTTTGAACATTTATAGAAGTCTGTTTGTCTCAAGAGAGTTTTTAAAATTACTTTAAAATGGTTTGTTGTAATAAATTGGTACCTCTGTAGATGAGAGCGTTGGATAAAATCTGTGCTTGCCGCCTTTCTACTGGTTCCCACTTTAGAACAAAGATCATCAAAGTTACCCATTTCCAAACAACAGCCCCCATTACCCGGAGAGGAACGGTTGGAGAGAACACACACACACACACACACACACACACAACACACACACACACACACACACACACACACACCCACACACACACACACACACACACACACACACACACACACAACACACACACACACACACACACACACACACCACACACACACACACACACACACACACACACACCACACACACACACACACACACAACCACCACACACACACCACACACACACACACACACACACACACACACACACACACACACACCAAAATAAACAACTGCTGAAATGCATTAATTCTTGGGTAAAGGCCTCTGTATTGCCACAATCCTTTTGATGTTAGCCTTTCCTTAAAGTGCAATCAGCCAACAAGTAATTCACTCGTACTTGAGCGGCGTCCTGGAGAAGGAAACAATGTGCTACTGCCTAATGACATTCATCTGAGTGTCACAATCTGATGTCTCTTCATCTTGAACCACGTTTACTTTAGGGATCCTCCAGGAGCAGTGGAGGGATGGCGGGGGAAGAAAATCCCACAGAGTTCAGAAACAAGAGAGGAATCCCACATTTTGAATCTGAACACAGCTGCATGGTACATTCGACAGAGGAGAGGATGTCTTAACACTTTCGTCCAAGTCGCAGTGTGATCTGCTCGAGTGTCTGTCCACCTTCACGGTTTGGTCCAGGGAGCGGTTTGTGTTTACCGAGACGCACACACCGATCATAAAGAGAGGAATATTAAACTACAACTGGGGAATGACAGAGCTGTCTGAGGATTAATGTAAATGTATCACAGTGTTTCTGATTTTCATGAACGCTGCATGTTTTAACATATGTGTGTGACAGTCTGTCTGCTTTCCCTCAGGTTGCCAGACTGATTACTGGCCATGAGTCCAAAGGAAGTTCACCCCCCCCGTCTGGTGGGTGTGCAGCACTGCACACAGACACACAACACCTGCTCCTCCACACACACACACTCCAGGGCTGCAGCCGTGTCCTGTCACAGCGAGACACATGCTCCTGTCACGATGCTCAGCAGTATTTCTAGATTGCGGGGAGAGAAGAGAGAAAGGAATAAAGAAAAGTGTGCAATAGAACTGCAACTGATCACAAGTGTAGCCTGTCATTAACAGCTGCCAGAAAGAACATCTTATTAAAGCAAATTTCATTTAAGCAAAAAGGATAAATCCCCCGTATTTATCTGAAGTTAAGCTGATAAAACTTCTTCATCCTGATTTAAATATATATGAAAAATGAAAAAAGAAATTGGCATGAAAACAGGTCGATGGAAACAGACTGTGTTTCTTTGCTGAGCCAAAGCAGAGCTATATTAACAGAAACCGGAAATTGATAATAAAAGACTACATTTGGTTGATACCGACTAAATTGAACTAACTAATGGCGCATTTCCACTACACGGTCGGCCTCGGCCACACTCGGTACAGCTCGGTACGGCTTGGCCGCGTTGGGCCTTAACAGGGCCGACTCACTTCATGCTGCGCTTCCATTACAGTTTAGGAACTGGGGTAGTTACTATAGTAACGCAGTGTAGGCGGAGCCGTGACGTCATCTTCAATGAGAACCCCAGAAAAACAACACAGCCGTTAGCTGTTAGCACTCAGAGCTCACAGCTCCTTATATATGTTCAGAAACTCGACAAAAGTTAAACAAGTACACACCACAGACTGCCTGTGTCATGGTGAATACAGTCGCTGCTTTATTTATGTCTGTATAGGCCGTTGTTGTGAGTGTGGACGGTCAGAGCATATACTGCGTTAGCTTAGCCAATCTCCATCTAGAAAAACACGCATTTTAAAAGGTTTTTCGCCTGCCGTCTGTCTGCAGACTTGACAAAGCATTAATTCATGGTTTTTACTAACCGGTATCAGTATGTTGTTACTTCGGCATCATTTTGAAACGTGTATTACAATTAAATCACGGTCAAATATGTCCATCTTGTTGTAGTTCTAGCCCTCTTGCCAGCGCTCCTCTCTCTAGTTTAGCATACTCAGCCCGACTCAGCCCTGTTTGTTGGCCCCGATAGAACCACAATTTTCTAGGGCCAGAAAAGAGGTGAAAAAGTGGCCCCGCGCCGTGCCGCGCCGGAACTAGGCCTAGTGGAAGCACAACCAAAAAAGGGGACGGCACGACACGGCACGCTTAAAGCGAGCTCCGCGCTGCAGTGGAACTGCGCCATAAGACTCCCCATCTCTTACAATGAAACTGCTATAACAAGAAATACACTCACTATGGAAAGGAGTAGAGATCAAAGCAATAACCCTTTAGTGTAGACATAGGCTTGTCAGTATTGTGTTACAACAAATTTGAATAAATAAAACCAGTTTTTTCAGACTCTCCTCCGCTCTGCACCCACCTGATCAGGCCCCATCGGCATGCGTCCCATCACCATGGGGTTCATTCCCATCTGCCCTCCCATCTGGCCCATGTGACCTCCTCCTCCGCTGGCTGGCATCCCCCCGTTCATCATCATGCCCCCATACTGGCCCGGGTTCCCCTGCTGCCCAAACTGCTGCTGCCCTGGAGGTCCCTGCTGCCCAAACTGCTGCTGAGGGTACGAGCTGGAGAGGGAGAGCGACAGGAAGAACAAGTTTGCATTTAAGAAATAAGAACTGAAGACAAAGGTTCTCCCTTACCTGACAGCACTGAGTTGTAGCACCTGTTGTAGATGTGTGTGATTTCCTACCTGGTGCGTCCCATGCCTCCCTGCGACCAGCCTTTCATTTCCGCCCCCTGGTACATGGGACCGCCCTGCGGGTGCTGTTGCATCATGGGGTTCGGAGGCCCCAGGCGGCCGGGCATCATGGCGTTAGGAGGACTGCCGCCTGCTGGGCCGAACGAGGGGTCTCCCTGCTGGCCCATCCCTGTGGAGAGAAATCATCCAGCATCAGCTCAGTCCTCTATTTACAGGAAATACATAACTGAAGGAATAACTAACCATCAATATGCACTATTTTACACTTTTTTCAATGTTGTTAGTATGGAACTTACACAGGGTACAATGCATAGTACTAACATGGAAACTATTATCCTGGAGATGAAAGACTACACTCTAATCATTTAAAGTGGACCTATTATGCTATATTGGAAAAATATATTGTAGGGCCATACCTGTACAAAACATGTCTGTGAAGTTTTTTGCTTAAAATACCAAACAGTTCACCCATTGTAGCCATGCCTCATACTGCTCATACCCCTCTTTTGCAGCCCCGTTAGAGAAACGCAGATTTTGGGTCCTTAGCTTGAAAAAAGAAAAAAGAGGAGGCGGAGCTAATGCCTGATCAGAATTATAGCGGAGATAAAGTTAAATTCTGCTGTGATAAAACGCCATCCTGTTCTAAACCACATCAAGGATTATTTCTGAAACAGTATGGAGCTCAAATGCCTTTTCTCTTGCGGGTTTATCACAAGGTGAGTTCCTTTTTTTATTTCCTGCTTTTTAAACACATGTGCTCTTCAGTACAGGTTAGCTCTGAGTGTTAGCGAGGCTTGCTAATGTAAACAAAGACGAGATTACGTCCAAAACACGTCAGGCATTGTTTCTGATAGCAACTTTCTGTGGGTCCGCTGCCGATTTGACGTCAGATCGGCAGCAAATCTGTATCCGCTCGTTGTATACCCGTTTTTAAAAGATTTGGGTACGGAGGAAAAGAGAGAGGGTTTTATTTTCTGACGCTGCGTGAGTTCCCCGACACACCGGGGACACATATTTATGTATAAAAGACATCACAAAGTGCATTTTGCATGATAGGTCCCCTTTAAGTAAAAATAATGGTATCATGAATCCACAGGTGTCTATTTGACCTTCTCTCCCTTTTTAATTTAAATAATTTAAATATTTTATACACAGGTATTGACTGATATTGATCAAGTGTATGTTTAGTAATAGATTCAAGACCTAAATCTCAATTGAAATGTGTTAAAAAATATATATAAAGATGGTAAATCAAGATGGATAGCGATCCTTTTGCCTTATAATGTGTTCTGATACTTACTATCCCTTTAATAACAACGTTTGGCCTGACTATAAAAAAACAGAGCGAGGGATGGTATTTTTTCAACATAAATCTTCCAATCCTCCAATCTAATGACAAATGTGAAGAAGACCCCTGCAGTGCACCGACTCCCCACCAGGGAGCAGCAGTAATCAGTGATGCACCAGCCTCAGTAAACTCACCATAGCTCCCCCCGTAGCCGAACTGCTGCGGCCCCGGCTGGCCCATGGTCGGCCCCCCCCATCGGGCTCTCCATGCCCCCAGGAGCCGTGACGTTTGGAGGAGGACTGAACCCCCCCGCGGCGGCTGCGGCGGCGGCGGCCTGCTGCTGCTGCATCAGCATCATCATCCGCTGCCTCCTCATCTGCATGGTGACCATCTCCCTGCTGCGCTGAGCCATCATCTGAGCGTTGATGAAGCCCGGCTGCACGAAACACATAATCAGAGAAGTTGAGGAGGGTTTGCATGTGGTATAGATATATTTGGAGCGTTAATAAAGTGTGTATGCTATAAAATATACAGCGTGTAATGTAAATAGTAGGTGAGTGATAAGGTCTCTTGGACAAACATGGTAATTTGGATGAAAGGTGGATAAGAAAGGCTTATGTTTTAAATTCCATTAGACTACAACAGTCAAATATGTTCCAATTGTTGCATCACTTAAAGAAAAGGAAAATACAAACATAAAAGTAATATTTTACAGACTGTAACAACTCTAACAAATTAAAGTCAACAGAGCAGCATCGGAGCTGAACACTGCAGCACCTGTCTGTCTTTTGACAATATACTAGACATGATAAATATATAAGGAATGTCGTGGCCATGAAACCTTCAAACTACTGGCAATTTTAATCTCTCTGGACATAAGTACATCTAAAAAAATAAGACTCCTAAAAAGCCACAGCAGGTGATGTATTCCAGCTCTAGCTGAAGAAGCCACAGGATCTGTCGAGTCAGTCAGTATGTTGAACAGATTTAATGAAAGGATCAGTACCACATTCTGATTAAGCCCACCATATAAAGGGGTTTTAAGTGTGAACTACTATTAGTGTCAAACTTGACCCTGATGAGGAAATTAAACCATAATCTTTGATATGATCATCTCATATTTCAAAATCAGTATTTCAGTGATTCGTCCTTAATATAAAGTATATTTACGTCATCTACCTGTCCTCCCATGCCAGGCTGCATGCCTGGCCTCATGCCAGGGTTTCCTCCTGGGTTCTCCATCTTCATGCCCATGCCCTGCCGTGTCTGATTCATGAACTGAGGAGAAAAAACCCATTAAAGATGGAGGAGCAAATGATTCTCTGACCCTGACCCACTTGTATATATACTTACTATATATTTGCAGAAAATGTATATATACTGTGTATGCTGAAATGAACGGTGCAACTTGATGATGGTGATTCATTGCATTAGTTTGGGTCTTGTTAAAACGTAATTGTTTGCATGTAAACCGTGAGCCTCCTGTACCTGCTGGCCCTGCAGCCTCTGCTGCAGCTGCAGCCTCATGGGCTTGTTGGCAGTCATCATCCTGGGTCTCATCATGTTGGCACGAGGGTGACCCATGCCGCCCATCCCACCCATTCCAGGGAAGCTCCCACCTTGGCCCATCTGAGACAGCATGGGCCCGAACCCCCCCTGCTGGGCCTGGCCCTGCATGGGGTTCCCTCCATAGCCAGACTGCATGGGCATGGTGGGGGGTCCGGGGTAGCCCTGTCCATAGAGGGGCTTCTGATCTAGCACCATGGACGGGTCCTGCCCTGGAAAAGACTCCAGCTGCTGCTCACTTCCCTGGTTCTGGAGCAGACAAGACAAAAGAAGAACTTTGTCAAACCTCTCCATCTAATTGATTCATTTCCAATTGGTTGGTTCTGTAATTGTCTTTTTCTAAGCAGCACAGACAGATCCCGCTGGGCTCATCCATCTTCCTTCAGAGAGAGTCTGAACACGGCGAGTCATGACTGAAATATCTAATGCAAAGATTAACGTTAGGCTCACTTATGAGTCATGGCATGCAGACGGATCGTTTCTACGTTCAATTAGCTTCTAGAAAGATCTAGAATGCACAAGGATGAAAGCGTGGTAAAAGGAATACACTATATCAAAACATTTATTAATAAGATCCCTCACAACTTGTGCAGTATAATCAAAGTCTCGCTTTCCCAGGCGTATGCTCAATACTTCCCGAACACATGGGTAAGACTGTTAATGCACATAGTAAGGTTTTATCAAAAATGCACGTGCTTGGGAAGTGGTGAGCATAACATTTATATGATTTATACTGCATGTGCTGTTTTAAACAGAGGCCCCTCATATACTTTATTTGATCAATTACATTTTCAGATTTTCATTCAGCAGCGAGGCATACGAGAAGACCAAGTCTTGAAGCTTACACAGAGCGAGTAATTGATATTTTTCAATCCATATTTGTAAAATAATTCTGCAGACCCACCTGGCTGACGAGGTCTGCGATACCCAGCGCTCGGTCGATCTCCTCCAGAGCGATGCCGTCCGTGTTGTTGAGCAGAGAGTCCAGCTGGTCCAGAAGCGCCCGCTCGTCGCTCTGACCCTCACTGGTGGTGGGAGGCACCAGGAGATCATCTAAGACGTTTCCAAACTGTCGTCTACAAGGCACAAACAGACACTCATGAGGCTGATTCAAACCTCCTGTTATATTACATGATGTACTCCCGAGCAGCTCATCAGGAATGAATACAGAGGATGAGGGATGTTGCACTGACCTGGTACCGTCCATGCTCATTATGGCGTCGGGCCAGGAGGAGGACTGGTTGGGCTGGCCCTGCTGACTGAAGGGGCTCATCCCCATCCCCATGTCGGCAGAGCTTCCTACACCACGGAGACATTACATATTTGATTTATTCACATACAGGTAGTCAGCAGCTACAGGTTGTGCAGGTTGGGTGTGATGAACAGGGTAAGTGTAGTATGTATTCGTCCACATATAGTTAAAGGTGGGGTAGGTAATTTTGGAGAAACCAGCTCGAGTGCGCTAGAATTTGAAAATACACAGCCGGAACAAATCTGCCACTTCCTTACAGAGCCCCTCCTCCAACACACACGAACGCGCACATGACCAATGAGGGCACGAGATAAGTTTGTGCACAGATGGAAGGCTGACAGGCAGGTAGGCCATCCAGTTATTTTAGCCGGGCCGGCTAAAATGATTGGTCGTACTTTTTACAGTATTACAGCTTCCACAGATGACATTTTTGAATGGATTTTTTGTCAAAGCACTTAAAATATTCATTGCTCTCGGATGTTAAGAGCATTCCATGGAATATAACAAAAAGTGTATCTCGAGCCGGTTTCTCAAACTTACCTACCCCACCTTTAAGGTCTCCTCATTATAGAATAACTTCTAAAGTAGCTCATTGTGCCTTCATGATTTGACTCTTTTGAATTCTTTACCATGTTAAATAAAGGTCTGCTTAAACAGTGTCTGTTGTACAGCAGACTAAAAACATATATATTTTATAAGGATTTATACCTTTTTATTTGTAATAATTATTTTCCTAGTCATAATACAATTAAAAGTCTCAAAACCTCAGATTGCCGTACAATTTCGTACAGAATGAAATGTACTTCAGGGTGTTGTTTGTACTGTAATATGGTAACTTTGGTAATCCCTAAACTTAATCTAAAGGTATTATAAGATCCAGATTTGTATTAGATTTATGTACAAATGCCTTTAAAAACTGAGCTATAAGCTTCCACTGTACCTGTTTTTTGGTACATATTAAATAACTGTGTCTCGGATCATTTGTCCAGCACCAATAGAGTATTATAGACGTACCCATATCCATCAGCTGTTGCTGCAGCATGGACCTGGTGCCCGGTACGCTGTTGGAGCGGCCGATCATGGGTCCTGACATCATGCCCTTGCTGTTGCTGTACTCCATGCCGGGACGCATCATGGAGGGGTGTCCTGCTGAACCCACAGGGCTGGCACCTGAGCGGGACATGCCCCAGTCCGCTGACCCCCCCATGGGCGACCGCTGGGGAACCATGCCCCTGTTCATTGGTCCTGTTTATACATAAACACCAGATATTCATGAGTGAGTATCATAAAAGAGTTTGAGGAGATCTGTTCGGCACATCCATGGTCCTCAAAAATACGGTTAACCTCCAATAAAACAAACAAACATTCACGTCTCTTGTTTTTAGCGCTATTTATACATTTAGATTGTTTTGGTGTGCGAGTGTTGGAGGTATTGACCGTAGATATGCCTGCCTTATCTCTAATACAATATAACTACATTGTTCTTTGCAAAATTCATACTGCTTAGAGAACCATATTTTGGATTTGTGAACTTTCCCTTTAAATCGGTGTCTGTAAGATAAGTATATAAGTTATCCAATAATACAATATGAAAGTGAAGTCCCTAACTAGAGAGCGGTGAGAGAAATTGTGCTGAAATTGATATTGTGCCACTGAAACACTCACCCATGTTTCCTGGGTAGCCGTCCGGGCTGCCCATCATGTTCTCCTGCTTGATGAGCATGGGGCGTCTTCCCGCTCCCACAGGCCCGGCAGGAGGCTTCCCATCCATGGACATGGCCCTCTGGAAGGGACCCCGAGGCCCCGGGCCCATTCCGGCATTTCCTGTGCACAAAAAGTATAAACTAATTGATCAGAAATACGGAGAATAATATTGGTGTTGCACAAAATTAGGGGTGGTTGGCGGAATTTATTTTTTCAAACTTTAAAAAATAGTGTATGACTAATTGATGGATTTATGGACGTTTTGTTGCATAAATATAAAAAGAAATGAAAATAAATATACTTTCAAATTCAAATTACTTCATCGGATATATTACTGCTATGATAATGACATAGAAACACAATTGCTATCTAAGAATTGAATTTCCATTCAAATATTAGATTCTCTATATTTAATGAAAAACACATTTATTTTCTCCTTAAAATAAAAGCATAGCCTGGGGGAAAGGGCCAATATAGTGAAGCTTGTGTGCTCCAGAGAAGAAGCTCTAGGAGTAAAAACATAATTCAGCATGTGATGATGCCAGATGTAGTTTACTGGCATTTTATATTGACTCCTGCTCTGCGTCAAAATGTCACTTCCTGTAAGCTTTGATCCTTTAACCACTTACCCTGCAGGCTGTCGTCAAGGCAACCCTGGGGTTTGCTTCCTGTGTCGTTCGCCCCTCCACCCTCCGCTCTGATCCGGGTAAAAGTCAGAGCTTGAACCCCTCAAATCTCCGAGGATAGACTCCAGGTTATGCAACTGGATATAAAAATAGAGCAAATGAGTTATTACGTAAAAGTCTTTGAAGACCACGGGCAGTGAGTCAATGAGCTCTATGCATGGCCAGCTAAATGTACATTAAAGTATGATTTTGCACTTATTTAATCATATCAGAACAAAAAAACCATCATACATCATCCGGTGGTTCTGACTTGATCTTGCTCTCAGGATGTTCGGGTGCAGATCCAGGTCCACCCCGTGCGGGACCGCCAGCGGCCCCCGGGGCTCCCTTCACATCTAGATCCTCCAGTTTGGGCTTGACATCCACTGGCTCTTTGGAGTCATCCTTGTTGAGAAGGTAGTGGAGGAGGGCGTGGGTCTTCTCCTTCTTGGGGCTATGCTGCTCCTGCTTGGGCTCCGTGACCATCCCCGGCCCGGCCCCTGCCCCTCCTCCTGCCTCGCCGCCCTCCTGGCCCCCGAGCGTCACCTTCCCCGTGGCCTCGGCTGTGATCTTAGCTACGTCATCTGGAGTGTTTCCATTTTGAAGAAGCTTGTGGAGGATCTTGTGCTTTTCTTGCAGGGAGCCAGTGTAGTGCGCTGAGGAAAGTGATGCTGCCAAAGCCCCTGGCCCGGTCGCCTGGCCCGGATTGGCACCGGTTGATGAAGAGGAGACTCCAGTCGAGGAGGGGCTCGTCATGCCTCCAGTGGGGTCTTTACTGTCTGAGCCTGCAGGAGTGCTGCTGCTGGCTGGTGGAGGAGGTACAGGCGGCCCTGATGACCCGCCGCCACCTATCCCCAGCTCCTCGGTCGGAGAGGTCAGCAGCTGCAGCAGCTTCTTATGCCCCTTACTGTCCGGCAACCTCCGAGAGGGTTCAGTGCTCGCCACCCCCGCATCGTTGCTTCCCTCTGCAGACTCTTTAGTCGCTGTAGCTGCCTGGTTGTCGGGTCGGTCTGCAGAACTCTCAGCCTGAGGGTGCTGATGAGGGTGGTGATGGTGCATGGGGTGGTGATGGTCGCCGGGCCCCAAGCCTCCCGCTGGGCTTTTGGAGCCGTCTGGGCCCGGTTTGGGCGGCTGGCTTGGCTGAGAGGAAGAGTGGATGCTGGGCGAGCTGTCTGGTTTGTGGGCTGGCGAGGGGGACGTTAGGGTGGAGGGGAGGGAGCTGCCGACTCCTTCACTGATCGCTTGTAGGGCGTTTAAGGAGCTGCTGGAGAAGGTGGTGGTGCTTCCTCCACTTCCTCCACCACTGACGATGCCGCTCATGGGAGAGTGCATACCTGGAAAAGAAAACATAAGTCAAAATGAAAAAACAAGCCAATATATTAATAAATAACTGATGCTAATGAACCACACACTGACTGGCTTACCTCCAGGTGAGAACTGATTCGCGCCCATCTTTGGGCTCCCTCTGTTTCGGGGGGACATCAGGAGTCCCGGCTGGGGGCCACCCATTCTGGGGCTTCCTGAAGGGCTGTTCATGCCGCTTAGCCCGAACCCCCCGCTGCTCTGAAACGGGGGCTGCTGTGGGTGCTGCTGCATGCCTTGGCCCGGGTGATTCATGGGACCCATCTGATTCATGTGCCCCCCCTGATTCATCTGCCCCATGTGATTCATCTGCATCATGCGGCTGCCCATGCCTCCACCTCCACTTCCTCCGCCGCCACCGCTGCCTCCGTACATAGAGCTGCCTCCCATCGGACCCATGTGACCCATGTGGCCCTGCTCGTTCATGCCGAAGCCCCTGCTCATGCCCCCCATGCCCATCCCCCCACCGGTGTTCATGTTCATTTGGGCATTGGGGTTTGGGCCTACTATGCCCTGTGGTCTCATGGTGTTCGGCATCATGTTTCCCCCCTGAGCTGAGCGGTAGCCGCTGGGTTCCCTGAACAAAAGGAGAAAACAAACAAACATTTGAAAGTCACAAACAATTATAAGGTAACAGTGGGGAGAATGAAGTCAAGTCGAGTCATAGAAAATGATGATGTTCTCCCCCAATTTCAAACATACCAAAGTCAATGCTGAATGTCCCATTTAAAAAATGACTGTTTTTATCTACAATGCAATTACTTACATAATTTAAAAAGTGATATAAATAAAACGCAATGGAAATTATGTTTTTTATTAAATAAAAGGTTAACATGTATTCATTGATTGGATCATATCCCATGCATTCGATTCATAAATAAACACTTAGAAAACACTAGAAAACAACAAATAGAAAAATGCAAGCCATAAATACCAAATCTTGATCTCATAATGCCTCTAGAAGAAGTTTAGGGATGACCAACGTTACTATATTACACCCTGAGGGACATTTCTGTACTAAATCGTAGGGCAATCTGAGGTTTTGAGACTTTGAATTGCTCCGAATCAGGGAGTTAGCTGGCATAAATGTGGGGACGATCTTAAAAGTAAAGAACAACATGTAAGTGTCAAGCAAGTCAAATTTGGGTCTCCAGGGTGACGTCAAGTCATGTTAAGGAGGCTGTGGCTCAGTGGATAGTATGATGGACTTCGAATCAAGGGATAGCAAGTTCGAGTCCCACTGCAGTCAGCATGTCGTTGTGTCCCTGGGCAAGACACTTCACCCCAAATTGCTCCTTTGGAGATTGTCCACAGTACTGAATGTATGTAAGTCGCTTTGGATAAAAGCGTCTAACAAATGACATGTAATGTAATGGAGTCCCCTACCTCTGCTGTTGTCTCTATAAATGATCAGTTCCTGGGTTGTGTTTTCTCAGTGATCATAAGATGTCAGAAGAGCTACTTCAGCTGCTATTTCTGTGGCATGAAAGCTTGCATGGACGTGCTGGAAGGGGTCTAGACAGTCAATTAAACACCCTTTGCTGTGTCTGAAAGGAGTGTTTGTATGTTCAGTTTCTGACCTCTGTAGAAGGTGTGTGGAGATGAATCCCTGCGGCTCGTTGCTCATTGGGTGCCGGTACAGTTTGCTCTTGGTCTGGGCTGTGACTGGAGTGCCGTCGGACAGGGAGAAGCGGTACAAGGGAGTCTCAGCGTGACCCTGCAGGAAGGCTGCACAGACAGATAAAAAAACGACAAATGAACAGCCTGATAACAGAGGTCATCAATCACTGCCTTGATGTTGGAACCAACCCTGTGATTACAGCAGGGATCAATGTGGTAGCGCTCAGACATTTGTATTCATGAGATCAATATTGATACACTGATGTATGAGGAGTGTGTGTGTTTCAGGGTTTCTTCCTGAAGAGAGGCCTGGCCAAGATAGGGAGCAACAACAAATAAAAGACAAACACTTCTACTTAACTACAGCCTCGTAAGAGAGAAGATGAAATACACTACTAAGCAAACAGTTAATTAAATACAGGGACATCCTGATGAGCTCTTTCATTATGGATTTAAAAGCGATTTACATGATGAATTCTCTAAGTTTGAAGTACTTCAGCAGTTGATTCCAGGTGTGTGTGTCTGTGTGTGTGTGTGTCTGTGTGTGTGACGCACCCTCATGGTAGTGGCGTTTGTGCGACCAGGGCTGCCCGTCACTGTGCTGCAGGAACATCTGAATGCAACGCCTCAACAAATCCTCCCAGCCCGGACGCATCGACGCCCGCAGAGAGTTCTGGTCGATCTGGATCAGTTTACCTGCCAGGGAGGACAGAAGGAGGACGAGCGGGGAGGGAAGCAAACAAGGAGACGCATGAGGAGATGAGTCAAACCTGTTCATGGAGAAAAAACTTCACAGCCTGTTTGTGCGTTTTGTGTTTGTTCACTGAGCATCCAGGGGTACGCAGCTCCTCACCTGAGAGCTCATGCCGAGTGTTGAAGCTCTCCGTTCTCTCCATGGCTGTCACCCGACGGGCCACACAGATCATACATGACTGCAGGTCTGCAAAGGAAAGGAGAGGAGAGTCAGTAATGATTCATGATCGATGCATGTGCTTAAGGCTCTTTTTCTTGTAACAACTTTCCTTGACTCTGCTGCGATAAATGAGACAACATTTTTTATTTACGAGGCAAGAGATTTTTGCACCTTTAAACAAACCCAAGTTTTTCCAAACATGTGACATGTGTAAACAAGATGTTGTTGTCCCATGACCAAATCATCTCTTATTTGTATCATGTTTACATTTTGCACATGACTTTGCAATGTGCTGGATTTTTTTCAATTTCTATTTGATATTATGAAACGCCTCTGGTAATGGTACGAAAGTGGAGAGGAAAATAGGGAGAACATTCAAAAGAGTTTATGATTATGTACTAAAGTCCCTCTAAGAAGGACACAAACAAGAGCTTGTTCAGCTATTGCATTGCATTTAGAATCAAACTTTTCCACCAGAGTTGTTTATTTTCCAATTGTATATTCACTTTCTGTTAAGAGTTCCCCTCCAGAAAATACTCAGCTTGGAATAATAATTTGTGTGGAAAAGTCCAGTCTCAAAATATCTGCACTGGAGGGTTTTAACTGAAGAGAAACCTTCCTCCTTCAGCAGATACATTTTTAAATAACAAAAAAAGCTATGAACCGTGAAAAAACAATAAGCCAAACATATTTATAAGTGTGAAAAAGAACAAATGTGATTGTTTTTCCAAGTAATGACTTCTTATCATGAACTAAATGTGTGTTATTATGTGACCGCCCCAGCGTACCTTCCCCCTCCTCGATCATGGCCTTGGGCTGGGTAAGAGCAAAACACTGCATGGTCTCGTAGCGCGGCCCTCCTGGCCCCTCCTCCATGGGTCCGTGTGCGTGGCCAAACTTGACCAGCATCCGGCAAGTGAAGGTGTGACTCTTCTGTCGGGCTGCCTCGCTTCCCCACGACACTCCATTTACTATTAAAAAAGAAACACAAACAAAAAATACATTTACACTGGGGAGTAAAAATGGAGCTGGGACTGAAAACTAAATGTAGCAATGAATGAATGAATGAATGGACTGCCTGTAATCAGACGCCACAACAGCTCACACCCTTTTCCTGCCGGGAATCCACACACACAAAGAAAAAAACAACAAACACACTGCAACATGTATTTTCCCTCTTAAATTGAGAAGCCTCTCCTGCCGTACGGATGCCTGGCTAAATGGACCATGGGATTAATGTAGCCAAGGTGTCGATTTCCAATATCTCTCCCTCTCAGTGCGCTCGGCAGCGGGCAGAGGCCAGGGACACTCAGCCATCTATCCTCATTTAGACCCTGACTTCTCATCACGACACACACACACACTCATTTAGACGGGGTCACCTTCACAGGGGGGGGGGGAGAGAGAGAGAAAGGAGAGGAAAACTTCAGAGAGACATCCAACTGTCCTCCAAGGTCTGCGTGAAGCCTTATCAGAGGCCTTGAGCCGGCGGGAGGTTTCTGTCTGGCAGGTGCAGGGAAGATACAAGAAAAGACCCAGGAGAACGAGACGTTTTTTTGGGGGGGGGGGATAGGGAGAGGTGATTTCACAAGGCCTTGGGACAGAGAAAAACACGGCACAGTCACTGGGGCCGACATCTCCCCTCTGACACAATTAGCCAGTGGTGAAAGAAGTACTCAGATGTTTTTACTTGAGTAAAAGTACAAATACTACTGAGTAAAAATACTCAGAAATTTCACTTAATTATAAGTACAAAAGACTTGCCATAAAAATGTAATTAAAGTACCAAAAGTAAGAGTACTTATTGTGCGTGATGTCCCATTTTAGAATCATACGAATATATTAAATCACTGATTTTTTAAATATGCATTCATCACTGCTGGTAAAGGTGGAGATAATTGTTATTACTTTATATACTGCTGCTAGATATTTTAACCTATAATTAGATATCATAGTTTATGTTTTAGTTTATTTACATTTAGTTTTAGCTAATAATCTGAATCTGTAAAGTAACTAGTAACTTCTTACTTTTTTCAGATAAATATAGTGAGTAAAAAGTACAATATTGGCTTAAAAAATCGTAGTGGAGTAGAAGTAAAAAGTAGCATCAGATGGAAATACTTCGGTAAAGTACTAGTAATCCTCAAATCGTACTTGAGTACAGTACTAAAGTCAATGTACTTCACTACATTACACCACTGCCATTAGCCAACAGCGAGGCAAGACAGGCGGGTCAAAAAACACACCGGCCGACAACAAAAACTCACTCCATGTTGTGTGCTCGAGTGTGTGTCTGTTTTCGTTAGTGAATGTGCGTGATTGTGTGTGTATTTAGCTGTAGCTGGCGTGGTCAACGGTCATCCCGCAGGAATGTGCAGCGATAGCGTATTTCATTCATGGGCCCAAAACATAATGAAGGGGGCAGAGCAGCAGAGCGAGACACAATGGGGGGTGGGAGAGCAGACAGGGAAGCAGGTTGAGAAACAGACAACCACAATGTTTGGCTGCCACACCAAGAAGGAGTGAAGCTGAGAACGATTTGAGAGACACGAGGGACGCTCAGGGAGATAAGGAGGAGACTTAAAAAATAAAGAGAGTGAATGAATATAGGAGTGTGCAAAGGGAAATAAGTGAGAGAACGTGTCAATGACATGTCGGAGCCGCCACTGCTAAGGAACATTACTGCGGAGTTAATAGAGGAGCGGGTTCAGGCGAGCACACACATCCATAATTAATCAGCTTTATAAATAGTGCTCTGTGCACATACTCATGGTCACACACACACACACACACACACACACACACACACACACACACACACACACACACACACACACACACACACACACACACACACACACACACACACACACACACACACACACACACACACCACACACACACACACACACACACACACACACACACACACACACACACACACACACACACACACACACACACACACACACACACACACACACACACACACACACACACACACACACACACACACACACACACACACACACACACACACACACACACACACAGCACCTTTAAAACATGCACACCTTTTGCTGACATAGGCATGTAAATATACACATTAATACTCTTTGCACATGCAAACAAGAATTGAATTAAGTAGCGGGAAGTGTGGAGGTGCATTATTCAGCAGTAAGTAGTTTCCAGATGGCTGCCATGGGATCTGAATAGAGCTCGGCCTGTTTTACACTGTCTGGACCACTGAGTGTGACTGACAGCTGCGCTACGCTCTGCCTGCTTAGCACCGGGTGGGCGGGTGCTCCTGTGCACATGTGTGTTTTGTTAGGTGTGTGTGCCTCTTTCCGAAAAGCTTTCATGCACATGAACAGGCTTCCCAGGAGCTCCTCATTAGAACCAGAGAAGGGGTTAAGAACGGAGTGAATAAATAACTGAGCGAGTCTACGCTGACGTGCGCGAGTTGTTGCAACCTCTCAAAGATTGTTTTATACCTCGGCCCTGTGGAAGTTGTCAAGCTGAGTTTACTTCTGAGCAGATGTGCAGCCTCCCTGTGAGTGTGTTTGTGTGTAAATGTGTGTGTGTGTGTGTGTGTGTGTGTGTGTGTGTGTGTGTGTGTGTGTGTGTGTGTGTGTCTCACTGTTGGTCTTAGGCAGGTTCTTGTGGAACTCCTCCCTGTCGTCCTCATGGAGAATATTGTAGACGCTGGTGTTGATGAGCTCCTCCTGCTTGTACTGCAGGTACTGCGTCACGTTGTCCGACACAAACACCACGCTGCCTTCCCGGTTCACCACAAACAGGAAGCCGTCCAGAGCCTGAGAGGACAGCGACAGGAAGTCACCACCAAACCTCGAAGAAATATTCCCTGATCAGACGGAGGTGCAGTGCAGCACTCACCTGCAGCAGGAGCGGCCCCAAGTGGTCCTTGTCGATGACCCCCTGACCCGTCGAGGACACGTCTGACTTCTGGACGTCGTCGTCGTTGGATGAAGCTTTTCCTGCAGGAGAGGAAAGGGAGGGGGAAAAAGACAAGATGCATTAAAAAAACTAAGACATTTCAAATCCTAGCTGCCTACAAAGAAGGGAAAAAAAGAGCAAAGGAGAACACAAAGAGAGAGCAACGATACCTGGAACTGGAGGAAACTGTTATTCACTTCTACAGCTGCACCAGCAGGGGGCAGCGTTTCTCAATCTTTACTTGAAAAATGTTTCCCTCTAATTTTAAAATACAGGTGAGGAGGGAGACGGACGGAGGCAGGTTTCTCTGAGGAGCCCGTCAGGAGGAGTAGAGGGCTGGGTGCATGTGGAGCAGGTAGCAGCCGTCCTCTTGCTTTATATTCAGTGTCAGACTCTGAGGGACTGTCTGGTAGGCTGGGGCTGAGAGAGAGAGGGAGCGCGGGAGAGAGCTACAGAGGCTCTGGAAGCTGTAATGGTGCAGGGGCAGGAGGCACCTGAATTAATGGAGGGGCTGAGAGAGAGAGAGAAAGGAAGACAGACAGATAAAGAGAGAGAGACAGGAAGGACCAGAGGGAGGTGGACGGAGACGATGCTGAGAGAAAATGCCTGGCATTTGGGTATTAATGCAGGGATTGGTCTGAGGAAGAGGCGGGGGCTGCTCGGCTACAGGAATCATTCTATCTGATTAGCTCCCAAGGGGCACAGATACCCACACAAAGAAAAGAAAAAAAAGCCATTGCTGCCTCATCCAGGCATTGTGAAGTTAGGTAGAGAATGGCTGAAAGAAAGAGGGAGAGGAAGGAGACAAACACAGAAACAGAAAGAGAGAGGCTGCCCTCCATCAGTTCCCTCAATATCTTAAGATGCTGGGAGCAAATCTAAAGATGCTGCAATACAGATGAGAGTGGAGGAGAAAGAAAACCGGGAAGCAGAAGAGGAAGAAGACGCTCGAGCAGAGTACGTAAAATCCAAGTGAGGATTTATTGATGGAGAAAAGAGCAAAGATGAAGGTTTGCAGAAAGAGCAACTGAAAGTGAGAACAGGAACAGGTAGAGAGAGAGGGAGAGACGAGTGTAAACGCCTGTGTCATTTCTGTCTTCACTTCCTGTAACTATGGCAACGTGTCAGCAGCCAGTCAGGGCCAGCTGTAGCCTCTTCCCCTTCCTGTCGAGGTGGCAGACGCTGACGGAGCCGAGCACAGGCACGAGAACAGAATTCACCCCTGATCTTTGCAAATTCACACAGGGCTGAATGTAAGAAGCAACAATATGTCCGTTCGGCGGTGCAAGACTCTCTGCCTGGAGCGTTTTCAATTTTGTTTGCAGTGGAAATGATGACTGCTGCATAACGGACACAGAAGTATGACAACGGCAGCTGTAACAGAACTAATCATTTGGCAGTTCAGCAGAATGGATGGGCATGTGATTACCTGCAAACGTCCAATTAAACAGCCCCTGGCGAGGGCAGCACACAGCTGTGCATGCTCATAATACTCACACGCACACGCACACGCGCACACACACACGCACAAGTGACAGGTTCACAAAGCATTGCCAATGTTTCCACCCAAACATAAACAGTTCAGGCTGTGAAATTTGTGGGAGATGAATGACTGATTCGTCCTTGCACCTGGGCTCTGAGAAGGCACATGTGAGTGTGTGTGGGTGTGTCCAGCTTTCTCTCTCCCCTCCCTTCACCACCTCTCCCAATGTTTCCTAGACACTCTTCTCCACAGTCCTTCCGACAGTGATTTCAGACAAAGTGCGTCCACTCACCCTGCTCTTTGATCTGGCGGATCTGGCGCACCGTCTCTTTGAGGATGGCACATTTGTCTGGTTTGACGTTGAAGCTGTCGATGTCGCCGAGGTTGGCCGAGATCAGCTCTGCTAGCTCTTCTATGTATTTGCTCTCCTGTTCCCGTCGCTTCCTGTCACACCTGTAAAAGTAGCAAAGTTTAAAAATATTGCGTCAGTGATGTTGATACATTTGAAAACAATGCAGATTGGATGAGTTTTTCAGTAGAGCAACTTGTCCAACATCTGAATGGAAGCAAGTCTGAAGTTTCTTTCCCCCTGATTCCATCAAGCATGAAGCTGAAGCCTCATGTTTCATTACATATCATTTAGCATGTATTACATTTTATGTTTTCAATCCCTCTCTTTTGATCTGATGAAGATTCAGTTGGGATCAAACATTGCGTACTTATAAAAACAATTGTAAATAATAAATTTTAGAATCACAGTTCAAGTAGGGCTGTGCAATTAATCGTATTTTAATCACAATTACGATTTTGGCCTGCCACAATTACGAAAACAACATAATCGAAAAAAACGATTATTTTTGCTTTGCTAGGTTGTGACAGTGCACTGCAACATATTTGATCGAATTTATTTTGGTCTAATCTATTTGTATTTATCATATTTATATATTAATAGCTTGTGGAAGTGCGCTCCAAAATATGTGTTGATCTTGTTGATTGGTATTTATTATTTTGATATTATTTATTACTGTTCAAATTATTATTTGTGTTTGTTTTAAAGTTCAATAAATGGATGTTTTCAAAGTCAATGAATAATCGTATTTAATAATCGTGATATCAATTATTGACCCAAATAATCGTGATTATGATTTGTGCCATAATCGCACAGCCCTAAGTTCAAGTGTAATTTATGTCATATCCTTACCTTCCTGAGAAGGATTTTAAATTCAATGACAATCTAACTAGGTTAAATCAATCAGGAAGTGCTTTTTCTACCAACATTATGGTCAAAATCCTCCTAAAAATGTGCACATATTTTGGCTCCTACTTCTCACAGCACACAATGCTCGGCCTGGAGAAGCCGCTGACCCAGTAGCCCACTTTCATGCTTTTCTCCTCTCTCGTGCTCATCAGAAACACTCACCCCAGACCCGGCGTCTCGCAAGTGGAGAGCTTGCGTTTCCGGTTTTCTGAGCTCAGAGGCTCCATGGAGTTCTCCCCCAGTCCGCTCATCGTGAACACATATCAGCCCCTGAGAGGAAGGAGCACACACACACACACACACACAGGTGTAAACAATGCTTTATTGCAGGCATAGGAGGAATTACAATGTTCCTCAAGGCCCTTCAGCTTCCATTCTATACATAATTGCAAAAGTAAGGAGACATGGGAATCGTCCTTTTGAACTCAGCAAAAAATAACCAACCAAGAGCAGTTTATGAAGTGGATACAGTACAGTACACAGCAGAGTCAAAATATGCTTATATCATGCAAATCATATTCTCCTGGCAGAGACTGACGTTCATAAACACGTCTCGTCTGCCTCCTCGTCTCCCTTAGAGTAAGCGTGAGGTTGTGTTTGTTTGTTGTGTGTGTGTCTGTGTGTGTGGGCCTGTGCATGTATGAGTTCATCAGCTCATATGGTGCACACACACACACACACCCACACACAGGATTAGCAGTGTCTCTGACGATAAGCCACGCTGCACAACTAACCCCGTTAGACAGCCGTCTGTCTCCCATAATGCATCAAATTTCTTTTCCAGGAAGTGAGCTGATAAAGGTTGTAGGGAAGAGAGGCAGATGGGATGAAAAGGAGGTGAGGAGGAGGAGGAGGAGGAGGAGGAGGAGGAGGAAGAGGAGGAGAAAGAACACACAGAGGGAGAAGCTGGTGCTGTGAAGTGAGCTCTGATTGGTCATTTTCTTTGCCACAGTGACAGCAGCTGACACTGGGGAAAGGTATAGGAGGGGAGGGAAAAGAGGATGGAGGAAGGGAGGGAGGAGAGGAAAGTAAATGAAGGGGAGAAAAAGACAGAGCACAAATAGAGTGGGGGATTGACAGAGAAAATGCAGAGGAAGAAAAAAATACAGAAGGCGGGAATCAGAGCGAATAGAGGAGGAGGAGGAGGCAGCAGGGGGGAGCGAGCTGAGAGAAAAAGAGATAAAGGCATGTCAAAGAAAGACGGGAGGGAAGGGGGACAGGTGAGAGGGGGAGGAATTAGAGGAGGAGATGTAACGTTCAGACTGTCTGGTGTGTGTTGAATTCATGTGTGGCGCACAGAGTGGGCTGAAAGCTTCCCATACCCCTCTTAACCTTCACAGCCAGGGCAGATTTCTCACTCCATTGATTACATGGTTATCCTCTGACCAGAGCACTGCCTCTCCTGCATAGCAAATCAGCCCAACGGCAGGGGAGAGAGCCGGCCTGTTATTTAATCACCATGCACCATCATCTCATGCTCCTTCTTGTGAGATCAGTTCATGAAAATGTCTGATTTCTTTCTTACTTTTTCTGTTCTCGGATAGAAATCGCTCTAATCCTCAGTGCTGCGCTCTCGGTTCTAAAACAAGATGGTATCCGGCTCAAACAGGCAAGTGAACATGTTAGGGCTCGCTTTCATACATGTCTTCAAGACCAGGTGAAACACTAGTGTATTCCCTTGCAAGACAACAACAGGGAATTCTTGTGAATTGTCTTCTAAAAGCAAGAGATGCTCAGAAGATGCTCAATCGTTCCCGCTTTGAGTTTTCTCTTTTAATGTCTCCCTTGCGTACGTCCCATCCGACTGTCTGTCTCGTTGCCTTTATCTGCCTGCCTACCTGTGTTTCTTCTTGCCTATTCTCCCGCCTACCTGCCTCCCCTGTCTGCTGCTCATCGTCAAACAAAAACCCTGCTTGCTATTGTCTGATGAAACCTACCACGAGGAAGACAAGGAGCGGAGGAGGCATACAGAGGAGAGGGGGGGTACAAAGTCGAGGGGTTTAGAGCTTGTAGAGCCAAAGCAAAGTGTTTGAGTGAAACTCCGTCTTTGCTCCTCAGACGCTCCCGCCCGCCCGCCTGCTTGGCAGCCTATTGATGGAGTTCTCAAAGGGGGAGTTGCTCTAATTGCGGGGTGAATGAGGCGGCCCCAGAGAATGGTTGATTAGGAGGCTGCTGAATGCCCCAGGGAAATGGGTCACCTCCAGCCTGGCGCGGGCCGCCCGCTTTTCCAGTGCAGGGAGAAAGTCAATTACACGCCACAGGCAGTGTGGGGTCTGGTGGCAGAGAGGCGGCGGGGCTGCGGTGGGTACAATATAGCAGCAGGGGGCATGGGAAAGAGACGCGTAAAAGAGGTCAAATGGGAGAGGGCGATGGCTGGATGGAGGGCAGCAAGAGGGGCAGGAGAGATGGGGGGGGGAAGGATGGCAATTTAAGGGAGGAAAAGTGAGGTGCAGTTGATTAGAGAGAGTTCAGACAGAGCAAATGGTTTCTCTGCACCTGTGTTAATGCACATTTTGAATGAGAGCATTTTTAAGAACGTTTAATAGAACATCTTGAAATTAAAATAGCGTTTGCTGATGCAGGAAGGTTTTTGAGAATACAAATAGATGATGATAAATTCGAGAAAGTGATAGACTGTCAAAAATGTAGCCAATTAATAAATAAAGCCCGAGCCTCAGGGAAAATTGAGCTGGGAACTTTAGAGATGAAATTCAGTGGAAAAGGAAGGCATCACCCAGGAACCATTATTCATCAACTATAAATCATATAGTTGAAAATGACTCAAAGGAATCATCAGGGTTAGTGGTGATAGTGGGAAGCTGATAATCAGAGTACTTATTAAGCAGCAGCTGCTTGTGACTTGGCCGGAGAAACAAATACAAACGGGACAGTGGTTAGCCCCCCCCTCATATTTAGCCATCATGGAAGTCTTCTCTTCTCCCGCTGACATGGACAGGTGAGTGCACCCACGCAGGTAAACAGCTCCGATTCTTTAGCACTAAAACTTTGGCCCGGTTCTCAACTCTGATCTTGACCTGGGCGATTTCAAGGGGTCACTGCCTCTATGCTGACAGCTGACCCACATGTTTTCCGGGTCGTTAAACGGGTGTCAAAAGAGGATGGCTCAGGTCAACACGCTGTGGCATCACCTCGATTGAAGTTAAAGTCTTTAGCTCTGCTGCAGGACGGCCAGTGGCCCCGGGGCCCGAAGCCCAGTGGGAGCACTGCTCACCGGGAAGAGAAGACTTTATGACAAAACCAGAGGAAACAGGTCACCTCATAAATAAGAAAGCATGCAATCCAATCCTAGTTAAGTTCATATGCTTCAGCACAAACAAAGATACCCTTAAAAGGATAGTTCAGATGTTTTGAAGTGAGGTTGTATAAGCTACTGGACAGGAGCAGCAGAACAAAATATAAAGGATAAAATGAAATTAAAAAAATGTATGCTATGTTCTCTTCAAAGCCACCATGACTCCATTGGCAACAACTGTCATTTTAACAAAAAACTGCTGGTCTTCTCCTGCCTCCACCAGTTAGTTTGTCATAATGTGGACTGAGTGCAGTGGCTTTAGGGAGAAAAAGATATAGCGGCTTCAGTTCCCTTTGGAAAGGACAGTCTGAGGGGGGAAGAAAAGTGGTGAACATATGCTAACTATACACTCAAACTAATATTGATTTTTTGATGTGACTGGAATAAGCCACAGCAGTACAATGCTTTACTTTTGCATTCTTAATCCTGTCAACCGCCATCCTCTTCTGTAGATAATACACAATGGGTGAGTACCTCATACAACCCCAATTCAAAACATCCTAAACTATCCCTTTGACATTAAACAGTTGCTTTAACCACTATAGGCCAGGTTTCTATGACATGAACTGTAAATAATCATAGTTCCCAGAAGGTTTCTTGTTGACCCCCTGAACTTCCTGCTAGCCTCACAATCAGGCCAAGGTTTCCTCTTGCATACAGGAAATATCAAAGGGTATCCAAACCCTTTTTCAGACATGGAATATGTTACATTGCTGGCCTTGTTTATCTGGTAAGGTTTAGGCTTTTTGTCATTCAGATGAGAGTCGTTGACATGAATATTTCTCACTACATAATATTACAGAGTTATAAATGTACAGTAATTAACATTGTTTGATATTTGGCAAATCTCCCACTTATTCATATTTGTGTAATTTCTCCATGCAGTAAATATGTTTTATATAAATTAGATGCATGTGACATTTCAGCTCTGTTACGTTTCAGTTTTTTTTTCTTGTGGCAATATCAGAATTATTTTTATTACAGTGAAAGAAAATTAAGTTTGCAAATAGATTTCGTTGTTTCTAACAATAACCCTGAAGAGGTTTTGTACAGCTTGTGGATTAAGCATTCAATATTGACTATTCATTTCATGGATTTAAATCAGATAACATTTGTGTTCTAAAATGTGAACACTGAATTAGTTCTGGTATTAGTTTCTGGTGGAAGGAAGAACTTTTTGAAGACAGCAGTGAGTTTAGATAATACTATATACTATATAATACTTTGGTGTCTATCTACGCCGGGATCCTGAGTCGTGGCTGATCCTGTTGCTGCGGTCCTGTGTCCTGGATCCTCTATCCTGAGTTCTGGATTTGAGTCCTGGACTACGAGTCGTGGCTGAACCTGTCTCTGCGGTCCTGCCTGACCTTCATCATACTACTTCCCTGATGGCTCCCACAGGATTGTTGACATCCTCGTGGATTCATCTTCTTATTATAGACACATGCATTTCCTAACATTCGGTCTACCTACCTATGCTGTAAAACGTATTATCTCTTCGATTTACACACGGCATCTATTGCACGTCTGTCCGTCCTGGGAGAGGGATCCCTCCTCTGATGCTCTCCCTGAGGTTTCTTCCATGTTCCCCTTTAAACTGTGGGGTTTTTCTCTGGAAGGTTTTCCTTGTACGATGTGAGGGTCTTAAGGACAGAGGGTGTCGTTTTGTCATACTGATATTCTGTACAAACTGTGAAGTCCACTGAGACAAATGTGATATTGGGCTATATAAATAAACATTGATTGATTGATTGAATACTAGACATCCTTTATAACAATGACTCTGCACATAATAGTACTTTTTCACTCTGTAAATGTGTTTGTTTCTTTGTATACTTCAGTGAACGCAATAAAAAAGAAGCAATAAGAGGAGCAGTACTTCAATAACACTGGTGAGTTGCACTTGTGGACTCTAGGGGAGCGGATTATAAATGGATGAACAGCATAAGACTGAAAG